CTCCACGCCTTATGACAGAGACTCACAAGCCATGCACAAGTATTTCAAGACAAAGTGATGATACATTGATAAAACAATAACTTCAGCAAGAAAAAATGTAGTGACAATACTGGACAAGTAATCCAGATGCCAAAATGAATTATATTAAGACAATATATTCAACCCCACATTAGCATCTGAATAACTTAATTTATACAAATCCTTTTAAAAGTAGTATCAGCTACAGCAATCATAGAACTACAAGTCTGTTGCAAAAACAGATTTTATTAACTAATATCCTTTAGGGAAGGAAACCTGTTCTCCTTATTTCATTGGACCTGTATATGACTCCAAACCCTTTAATTTGTATTCAACAAGTTGAATCACCATCACTTACTCAAGAAAAATTAGGGATGGGCAATATATGATGATGTTGCTAGCAGTACTCACACATTCCACGGATAAATGGAATGTATTATCTGGTTATTATCCACATTGTTGGTTAGGGTCTTATTAAGAGAAATAAAGTATGCTGCATTTCTTATACTACAACAAAACAAAACTTTTAATAAAGTACTTCATTCGTTATAAAGTGTTCAGGAATATCCAGAGAAAATGAAATTCACAAAGTGATGTCTTTCTAATCACGAGTAATAATTTAACTCTAATCAGGAAGTATTTGATGCCTACATCAGTAAAAAAAATCACATTCCCCACCGCTAATATATTGCCTGATGAAAACAAAGGCAGATTAAAATATTTATTTTTCAACAAAAGCATTTCCTTTTTGTTAAATGGATTGTAATAAGTTTATATAAGCACAGAAAAGGAGGGTACAAGAGCATAAAAGAAGCAGGTGATAAGATTGGTATACTTTTATATTTCGTTAGATTGACAACTTTGAATTCATGTATTCCATTTAGGGATTTTCCGGTCAGTCAATTGACAAACTGTTAAAGTAGAACAGAACCACGAATTGCACCTGGGGTTAAAATCGATTCAGAGATAGTAGGAACTGCCGATGCTGGAGAATCTGAGATAACAAGGTGTAGAGCTGGATGAACACAGCAGGCCAAGCAGCATCAGAGGAACAGGAAAGCTGACGTTTCGGGTCTGGACCCCCGAAACGTCAGCTTTCCTGCTGCTCTGATGTTGCTTGGCCTGCTGTGTACATCCAGCTCAACACTTTGTTATCTCACGACTTGCACCTGTTATTGAATACAAGGCAACTGCGTGGGATTTTTTTCGTCTGATGGGTTAAAATAAAATACTTTTTGCAACATCCTATAAGTGATATGGTTGAATTCAGAGGCATTGAGTTATTGAATCAATCCAACAATTCCAATGACGGCCACCAACAAAGGATGGCAAAAGCAACATGGTGGCATTAATGACCACGTTCACCGTTTGATGCTGGGCATTCACCTTCGATTTCCCGAGCTTTTGGAAAACACATGTATTAGTCCCGAATCTTGCTTTGGGGATTGTGTATCAGAATGTTAACTAATTCTAAATCACATTTCTTGATAGAATTCCGCTCTTTATGTCCAAGTACCTAGTGAGGACAAACTCTTTATAGTGAAGTTGAAGAGGATCATTGACAATTATTCTAACTCACTAATCAGTACTGGAGGAGCTGCTCTTAAGGAGCATTTAGTTATCATAAATCGGATCACATTATCGAGAAGAATAATTCCTCATAAACATTTTATGCTTACATGGGTTCTGGATCATATACTAATCCAGCTAAAAGGTTGGTCGCATTCATTTTTAAATATAATTGGGACTAAAGTCCCTTCGTCTGCCACAATTCCCGGAAGCAACGCTGCTCCGAGGGCCAAAAGTAAATCGAACAAACCAGACGTTCCGATTTTTTCAATACATAAAACAAATATAATCGGAATGGACAGATTATTTTAGTATTACAGTTAATCTGTATCCGACAAAATTGGTCACTCCCTTTTTTACTGTCACCATGTGCACTTGCAAAATAATACATAAATTCAGACTTATTGTTCTTCTTAAAACGCACCTCTATTTTGTTTACACGTGGGCCCACGATTTTAACGTGGCGGTAAAGAAAGGTGGATGAAGTTTACGTAATGCAGAAATGACGTCCGGGTAATTAATGGTGGGGAGAGGAATTGCAGTTCATAGGTTATGAGAAAAAAGTTGAAGAGACAGGACAGACAGGTGAGCGTAGCGCGTAGCAAATGTTTGATGGTAATGGAGAAATAATCGTGGAAATGGATACAGACTCAGTCAATTATGAGGCAGTTGTAGTGGTGGAGATGAAAACATTGTTAGGAACCATGGCCAATTGCGAACAGCATACAAGTACTGATCCGAAAACGTTGCAAGGTGGACCTTTTAGACAATAAGACTTGTCCACTGTGACCATTTTTATTGATCGTTCGCCTTGGCGGAGAAGCTTGACCACAGTACCTTCAACTGCCTAGAATCCTGAACACTGGAATGCCTTCTCTAAAATCTCTGTACTCTTTCATCTCGGACGTACCTTCATATTAAGCTTTAGATCACCTACTCAGACATTTCATTATGTGGCTCCATGTAAAGTAGCTTGGCCAAGTTCTTCGTTAATTTGGAAGTTACTTAAAAGAAGAAAAGTAGCTCCATCCGAGAAGGCAGCAGCGTGTTTGAAGGTAGGGCCAAGTTCCGTGGCCAGGAATAAGGTTATCAGCACCCCAAACGCGTGCCTAAACACAGTCACAAACAAGAGCTCCTGGAGAGGCACTAGGTGGTTACACGCGTGACATTCTGCCTACTGATACCCAAAAGACTTCTGCTGTAAGAGGCGAGTCTGTGTAAAGTTCTGAAAAGCTAAAACTCGTCGTGACCATGGAAACCCAAGTGTTGCTTTCTGATAAGTAGGCGATTTTAGGGGAACGTCGCAGGGCAATTTCCAAAGTTTAGGGACGAGAGGAAAAAAATCTTTACATCCTCATGTCACGTGACATTTTGGGAATTGCTCCCAATATCGCCTTCTGAGGTAATTGCACTTATTGAAAAATAAAAACAAGTCTTCGAGAAAAAAGTATGCATGCATCGATCCGAAAATGTTGCAAAGTGTGAAATGAAAATAAACAGTTGTAAATTCGAACTTTTGGAATATCGCAGTGTATTGTTTTTTTAAATGAAATCCAAACTCTTCGTAGGTTTGCCCCTTTCTGAAAAAAAAATGCCTACAGTTCATCCGAACTTCTCTAAATATCCTCAAAACGGTAGAAAATGTTGCATTTGGTCCCATTACCTGTTAAATAGATACCGCACGCGAAGTTACACAGAAACCTGATTCTCTAAGAATGATCAGAGCTGCCCTAAACAGAGCGTGAACTGATAGAATTATCTGATCACTGGAATCCCTTTGAGCCGAGGTAACGTGCCCTATTGGTGTTTACGGAGTGTTTTTTTGGCTAAAGCTGCATTGATGTAATTATTGGGTCGATTGTTGGAGATTTGCGCCAGATGGCGTCGACTTCTAAAGCTGCAGTTGCTCGTGTTTGCTTTCTCTCCTCATATAGGATGCTAATTCGCAGATAAGTTATGAAAAGGCCGCAAAGTTGTAAAACAGTATTCATGGGGTAGAATGCCCACCGGCGTGACCTATTACTAAATACATTCATGAGGCACCCTCCTTTTATCCGTGATTTTCCACACGACGCTGCCTCTATGGAGGATCAGTAATAGCTTTTAAAAGGCATTTGAGTGCAGGAGAAAGCGAGAGTCTGTGCTTCGCCTTCCCGTCCGTCTGAAACCTCCTTAGTGACTTTAAACCCACCCCCTCCCTTTCCCAGCGCAACAAAAAGAGACCAACTCGGAGAAAACGAGGGACAGTGAGGTTTACAGAACCATAGAAAGCAGAGAAAAGGGGATTATACTAAGCAATAAAAAGCGCAAAACAAGCAAATGCAGATGGTTGATGAAACTTTTTAGTTTTTTTTGTCGCAATAAAGATTATTTTGCCACTATTGCAGGTGTTTATATTTTAAGACAGATTTAATCGATGTAGACCATGGCAAATTTTCGTGTAAGTACTTATTCCGAAGAACTCCGTGCACGTGAATCACAAATAGACACCAAAAAACACAGCGGGCAATCCATTTGTGACTACATAGTGTTCGAGTGACAGTTGTGCATTTTTGTTTTGCAAAGGGAATTGGGATTTTTTTTATTATGAGCTCGCCTGACATCACCAGGAGTTTAAAAAGAAAGCTGAACTCGGTCAGCGCTGTGTGTGAAAACTGAAGACTAACTATCGAGTCTTCTTTTTCCTCTCTCTTTTCCGAGCAAGTTAAAGGGATTCATCGAAGAAAACTTTGAAAACAACCGTGTACTCAAACAACTCTCCTGAGGTAATCTGGAAAAGATTACTAAGGAAGAGGAAAGTCGAATAACTGGCCTGTCTTCAGGAAAAGTTAAGAAAACATATCGTTCAATTTGGGAAGGGAAAAAAAAAGTGTGCGAGCAGGCTGATCAAGATCAACCAGTATCGAGTGTGTGCTACGCTATTGAGTGAAGATTATGCAAGGAGACGGTAAGCAGGTCAGGAAATAATTAGGTTTCAGTGGAGAGACCATCAAAAAAAGACTAACATACAAAGGAATATCGGAGGAGGGGACACAATCAGAAGGGGATGAGAGGTGAAAGTAGCAGCTAGGGTAATTCAAAGAAGGTAGTTGGCGCTAATATTGGCTCCTAGCGGGAGGCGCAGGGAGTTGTCAATGGGGAGAGGCCCCATTCTCTGACAATGTTTGGAGCTGGCCAGTGGGCGGGGGCCAGTGGGCGGGAGCCAATAGGCGGGGTCGGCACCCTCCCCATCTGTGATTGGCCGCTGTGGTTTGGGAGGCGCCGTGTGATTGGCTGGCTGGTCTGGCGGCACGCGCCTTTGGGGAAAGTTTGGGACGAGTTGGAGAGAAGTTTGAGCGGAGCGGCCTCAGAGTGAGGGTCAGAGCCCAGGGAGAGAGTGTAACACAGCCGCCTCAGA